CGAGAGTTTTGTTTTTTAAATTGATGTGAGATTTTAGTTTTTTATTAAAGTTAATGGTGTGGGTAATTATATTAAAAATCAAATAAATTAATTTAATTACTATTAAGTGAAGTCGTTAAAAAGTAAAAACCCAAATTCATTCAACCCGGCGAGTTAGGCGGTTTCAGTGGGTTGGGCGAGCACCAACGAGTCAAAACGGGCTAAGGTATTGACTCGGCCCATTTTTAAGCTCGAGTTCGTTCAATTGGTTCAACCGATTGGACCGAATTGAGTCCAAAAACATTGAGTTCAGCACAACCATAGCAACAACTATGGTTCCCACACGTCACAATAAACCTAAATGCACCCTTATTGGTTTTGGTAAGTAGGAGGGTCAATTTGCACTACTTCTAAGTAGAGGGGTTGACATGCCATAATAATCAAAGTAAAGGGGCTAAATTGCACCTTGCACCTTTCGGTTTTTTTAAGTTTGTTGGTTAATTAAATTATTTTTGGTAAAATAGTGCAAAGTCCATATGATTTTTTCTTCATTTTTAGCCAAAAAAATAAAAAGGTTAAACCCCCTATTTTGATTTCTCAACTATTATTATATGAATTTTGATTGAGTCTCTTAACTTAAAAAATTTTTATTTTAATCCCTATTATTTAGCATTTTAGACCCAAGTTAGCCTTTCCATTAAATTTTTGTTACCATGTGTTAGGTAACAGCGGAAAGATGTCTTTTCAATAAATAAAATATGTGAAATTTACAATGTGACAAAATACATGAGCCCGCAATAATATTGTTTACATAATCGCTAAAAGTAATAAAATGAACGTATTACCTGTCTTCAACCTCAAAATCTTGCATTTTCTCTCTCTTCCCCATCACCAGGTTTGGGTTTGGTGAACCCAAACAAATCTAAACGGCAAAAATTCCCTTTTTCCGTTTCTCTTTCCTTTTCCTTTCCTTTGCCTTCTGCAAAACCTTATACTTTTCTCAGCTACTGGGGGTTCGAAACATAGTAGCTGTTGGGTTCAAACCCAGCCAAATTCAATGATAATTGGCGGCGCCAGCATGGGATTAAGAATGGATTGGCACCGGACATGCCTCTGGAATCAACGAAGATGGATAAAACAGGAACGACAGAGCCAACAAATCTTGACCCAGAAACAGTTGTGAAATCCTCAAGAACGGAGATTCAGCACTTGTGCGAAACAATGTTCAACAAGGGTCTCCGGAGGTACATCGCCACGCATTTATTCGACATCCTGAAGCTTCGGGAAAGTACTTGCGGCTCTAAAGCTCACCTCAAAGCCGGTAAAACTGGTTTTGCATTGCATTGGGAGGTTTTTTCTGCTGGGTATTAAAGCCTATAGCAAGGACTCACCCATGATTCCTGCAAGGCAAACATCCGTTTTTATTTTGGAACTTTTCCTTCTGATGATGGGAGGTTGTGATGGAAGCCAAGTTGATATTGAACAGGGTTTGAAGGAAGAGGCAGAGATGGATGGGAGCAATTGCATGGAAGAAGAGGTTGATTAGTAAAGGTGGGTTAGGTAAGGCGAGTGAGATTGATGCCAGAGGTTTCGTTTCTCTTTCCTCTTCCTTTCCTTATACTTTTCATCGAAGAAGGGGAAGATGATTGGAGATGAGAGAGAAGTGATATGTTCAATCGAACCCAGCAAACCTGCAGCTAACGGGCCAACAAGCGTAATGTTTTCAGGGATTTTTCCTATAGGAAAAAGATAACTGTTTGGGCAGCTTCACAAGATCTAGTTGATACAAGCTGACCAGCATAGAGACCTGCAAAACAGACCCAAGGGTTGTTCCTCGGAGTAGACACTCCGACGTCCAAGTTAACAATATTCTATACTTGGAGCTCTCTTTAGAGAGAGAAATATAATAGAGAGAGAAGAGCTCTCAGAAAAGTCCCTAGGTGTGGAGGTATTTATAGATCCCTTGGAAGTGTTTTACACGTATTGCACTTCTATTGGTCCCTTTGGATCCATTTCAATGTATATGAGTTCCATTGTGACTCATGGATGTGCTTATTTGTATTTGGGCCTTATGGGTCTTTATTTCATTTATGGGCTAGTTAGATTACTATCCCAACATTACTCCCCCTCCAAGTGATTTCTAAGCTTGCTGAAAAATCACAATGGTTCAGCTTCTTGTTTTTATAGGTTGTAGAGGGGTCTGATTTATTCTTGAGGAATCTGGCTTGGAAACCTTGATTTGAGATTTCCAACCTGTAAGCTGAGAGTGACGACTTGAAACCAGGGAGCTCAAATTGACGACCTAGAAGTAGGAAACTGAGAAAGCTGAGAGTGGCGATCTTGAACCAGGAAACTGATGAGTAACGACTTGGAAAACCAAGAAGCTGAGGAGTGACGACCTGAAACCAGGAACCTCAAGAGTGACGACCTTGAAGCAGGAAGCTGAGGTATTATGACCTGGAACTAGGAAGCTGAGGAATGACAACCTGGAAGCAAGAAGCTTAGGAGTGACGACCTGAAACCAAAAAGCTGAGGAGTGACGACCTGGAAACCCAGGAAGCTCAGGAGTGACGACCTGGAAGCAGGAAGCTTAGGAGTGACAACCTGAAACCAGGAAGCTCAGGAGTGACGACCTAAAACCAGAAAGTTGAGGAGTGACGACCTGGAAACCCAAGAAGCTCAAGAGTGACAACCTGGAAGTAGGAAGCTCAGGAGTGACGACCTGAAACCAGGAAGCTCAAGAGTGACGACCTCGAAGCAGGAAGCTTAGGAGTGACGACCTGAAACCAGGAACCTCAAGAGCAAATGATGGAGAAAGAATCTAGCCACTCATAAATAAAGCTGGAGAAGGAATTTACTTGATCATTTTTAGGAGCTTTGAGCTTTGTGAGTGGAGCATTTCAGCTCAAATTTTCTATTGAAGCTCGCCCATGTTGGGTTTCAACTCATAATTCTTCATAGGAGTTTACCCATGTAGGGCCTCAGCTTGTTCTATGAGGTTGCAATTCTTTGCTGGACCTATCAGGTTAGAGTATTCAGGATTATCTAGAGCTAACCCATTTAGGATTTTAGCTTGTAATTCTGTGAGAGCCTACCCATGTAGGGTCTTAGCTGTAATTCTTTGTGGGAGCCCACTCATGTAAGGCCTCAGCTCGTAATTCTTTATCTAAGCTTTCTTAGCTCGTCGTTCTTCATTGGATGTTGTCAGCTCATCATTATTTTTGGGGCTCTGCGAGCTCATAAATCTTTGTTTGCACTATGTCAACTCGTAATTCTTTGTTGGAGTTGTATGAGCTCGTAATTCTTTATTAGAGCTCTATCAACTTGTCATTCTTTATTGGAGCTTTATGAGCTCGTCATGTTGTGTTGGAGCTTTTTCAGCTCGTCACTCTTCATCGAAGCTCTGTGAGCTCGTCATGCTATGTTTGAGCTTTGTCAGCTCGTCATTCTCTGTTGGAGCTTTGTCAGCTCGTCATGCTCTATTGGAGCTTTTTCAGCTCGTCACTCTTCATCGAAGCTCTGTGAGCTCGTCATGCTATGTTGGAGCTTTGTCAGCTCGTCATGCTTTGTTGGAGCTTTGCTAGCTCGTCATTCTCTGTTGGAGCTTTGTCAGCTCGTCATGCTATATTGGAGCTTTTTCAGCTCATCACTCTTCATCGAAGCTCTGTGAGCTCGTCATGTTATGTTTGAGCTTTTTCAGCTCGTCATTCTCTGTTGGAACTTTGTCAGCTCATCACTCTTCATTGAAACTCTATGAGATCGTCATGCTATGTTGGAGCTTTGTTAGCTCGTCATGCTTTGTTAGAGCTTTGCTAGCTCGTCATTCTCTGTTGGAACTTTGTCAGCTCATCATGTTGTGTTGGAGCTTTTTCAGCTCGTCACTCTTCATCGAAGCTCTGTGAGCTCGTCATGCTATGTTTGAGCTTTGTCAGCTCATCATTCTCTGTTGGAGCTTTGTCAGCTCGTCATGCTGTGTTGGAACTTTTTCAACTCATCATGCTGTGTTGGGGCTTTTTCAGCTCGTCACTCTTCATCGAAGCTCTGTGAGCTCGTCATGCTATGTTTGAGCTTTGTCAGCTCATCATTCTTTTTGAAAGGCTCACCAAATAAAGATTTGGATCTTGCCTAACCCAAGTGGAGATTTGGCTCTTGCACAACCCTGCTCATTTATTGATGGGGCCTTCAAGTGGTAGATAAAACTCTGATGTAAGAGCTCACCAAATGGAGATTTGGATCTTGCTC